TCTTTTTCTTTTTTTTTTTTCTCACTAGTACGCAACGACATTTTTTTTTTTTTGCTAGCAAGAACGCTGTGAACAGTAATATTCTAGTTCTTTTCTTTTTTATTTTCTTTCTTCAATTGAAATTGAAGTTTCGGCTGTTGTTAATTAATCTTAACGACGTTGATGAAACTTAGGCATCGCTGAAACTGAATCATCTAATCGCACCAATTCTAACGTAGTTATTTCGCAAGATTTCTTTTTTTGACTAGTTTAGAACGTCTTCGTAGAGCGTACGTAATAATGATTTAGAAAGAGAAGAAAAGCAGGCACGCGTGATATCGTAGAATTCGCAGCCAGTAGATGTGAAGTAATATAATATAAGTAATACGCTGATACCTAGATCCTATCTTGAGCGATTTGAAGTAGAAATTTTATTTTTCGATTATTTCCTTACCTTTTTTCCTCTCTCTCTCTCTCTCTCTCTTTCTTTTCGATTTTTTGTTTCGTTTATTTGCGCGTAGATCCGACCATTCCGACGCCAGTACTATTCCGAATAAAATTTTGTTTCCTCCATCCCTCTCCTCCTAGACTCCCCACACTCTCGAGTTAGGTTAACGTTCACGCAATTGTCAGCTTCGTGCTTCTTGCTTTCAAAACACGAGTATCTCATTCTTTCTTTTCTATTTCCCTTGATTCTCTATCCTCCACCCGCGGATTAACCCTTCAGCACTTTAGTTTCCCGTAAATGGTAAGATATTTTTTTACGAATCGATTTTACGATTCAATTTAATTAGCAAGAACGTAAGGAAAAAATCTTTGAGTATTTTTCATTTTTCTCTTTTTTCGTGGAAAAATAATTTTTTGAATATCAACGATCTGTACAACAAAACAACAGATTGTTTTAATCGCGTTAACCGATTTGAAGGATGGATCGAAATCATCCTTCCCATTTTTTTCTTACCTACATTTTTTTCTTTCTCTCTCTCTCTTTTTTTTTTTGCATTTTGCTCTCCATCCTGAAACTTTTGTTCTTTTAGCCGAGCTCCAGACGATCTGTTCGGCATATTGGAACAGAGTATACGCGCTCGAGGGCGATAAGTTTGACCTCGAGAGGCAAATTAGGTTGAAAGAATTCGAGGTAAATACGATCGGCTCGCCTGAAGAAAGCCTAACGAGTCTCCTGCACAGATTATTTTTATCTCTGGCCTCCCACGTGATTCTTTTTTGATTTAATTTAACTTTGCCACGTCTACGACCGCGCAATGCGATTGGTCGACGTCCTCTACGTATATATACCTCCCGGTCGACGCACCCTCGAAATTTCACACACACTCTCTCTCTCTCTCTCTCTCTATCTCTATCTCGGAGAGAAATACTTTCAGAATTTTCAATTTATATATATTTATATATATATATATATGTATATTCGTTTCGAGGCTGCTCGTTACCCTCAAATTTCATCGACAATGGTCGCGAAGATTGAAGTTTCGAGGGAAGCGTTTACAAGGGAGTGTAATTTCGTATACGTCTCGATGGACAAATGGAGGTCAAATAGGACAGTTTCTATTTGAACAAAAAGGAGAG